TCAACGTGGTGGGTAGCACTAGGCAGCGGCCAGCCTCCGTAACGATCGCTTCATTTGTGCATCTTCACGGGGTCCGTCTTGCCTGATGCGAGGTTCTTCCTTGTCGCAAGGTTCGGCTGCCACAGCACCCCCGTAGTTTCGCGCTTGAGGTCCGGCTCCTGAGGCTTCTTGATCTTCTGGGTCTGCTGTGATATCCTTGTGGTCTCCTTAAGAGTGCGCCTCATCGGCGTCTTTGCGTATGGCGCCCAAGCTCCCTGGGGTGGTGAAGAGGCCCCGCTGCGACCACACCCCTCGGCCTTGGGGTCCTTCCAATCCTCGCGCTCCACCTGGAGGAAGCACTTCTGGTCGCACTTGCTTCCCTTGAGCACCTCCTCCCGACTGCTGATGGCGCCATAGCGTCGGGGCCAGCGGTCAGAACCACCATGCTCCAAAGGGCAGTTTGATGGTAGCTCACTCCTGCTCGGGTTGGGCATACTCAGCGGCTCAATGACCCGCGCGCCGAGCAGCAACAGCACTAATGCGTCTTTGCCACTGCTCTGACCCAGGCCGCGTCTCTCAGCCGTGACGGCCATATTTCTGCTGCGTGCTTGCGCGGTCCTTGCCCAGACAGGTTCGCAGATGTCCCGTGCCCGCATCCACATAGACTCGATGAGCGACACTGGATGAGGTGGTGCCCGCGCAAACTGCAGGATGAGGTGCGGCCGCTCCGTGAGCAGTCCGTGAACGGAGCGCATCAGTCGATCCAATCGTCGATGCCGTGCCAGATTTTATCATCTGGCATCAAAATCCACTCCACAGCGTGGCCCTCCAGATGTCCAACGACTCCGCATGCTTGTGGAGTACCGACACGGGGGTGCCCTGGCGGGGAAGACTTGCCCATGCAACTCCGCACTGGAGGCCTCAGCTCATGCACCTCAGCGCGCTTTGTCGGTGCCCGACTCGCCCCGCAGGTCCCATTGCTTGTGTGCCTTCCAATCTTCGCGCTCGGCCTTGGGGAGGCAGCCCCCGTTGCACTCGCTGCCCCTGGGCAGCTCCTCTCAGTTGCCAATCAAGCCGCTGCGGCACGGCCAGTTCTGGGTCCTTGGTCCACGGGGTTCAACGAGCTCTGCTTCTGGCTGTTGCGGGCCATGCTAATGGATATGGGATGCCCTTTGTATTCCTTTATTTCCCTGGACTTGGGAACCATCTGGAGAACTGACAGCGAAACAGCCCGTGCCCTGGTTGGGTCCTGACTCCATGGCCATAGCTTTCCCAGTCGATCTGCCCCTCGATCCACTCGGCGATGCCGGGCTTGGGATCGGCCTTGGCATTGATTATCCGGCGCCCGTTGCCGCCAGGCCTGCCCCCTGGGTGCTGCTGTCAGGATGACCGCGAGGCGCTTCTGCCCATCCTCTGGCGCGTCGTCTGGCGGTCCTTCGGCAGCGAGGTCGCCCAGCACGCCTGGGTCGTCCCAGCTCGGCTCCTGCCCCAGCAAGAGCTGCGCCTCCGCCCCCGTCGCCTGGGCTGGGAGCCGGCACGCCGCCAGCACCAGTCCCACCGCCGCCAGCCCCGCCGCCAGGCCCCTCGATGGTTGCGTCGGCTTCCTCCTTGGCTTCGTCGGCTGCCTCCTGGAGGATGGCGAGGAGCGCCTCGTAGGTCGCGCCGACCTTGGCGCTGCATTGCGTGCAGTGCTGGGGTCTGCTGGCCGCGACCGCCGCCATGGGTCCTCCCAGGCCTGCTCCTCCGAGCGCTGACCCGCGCACGCGCTTGATGTTGGCCGCTGCCTCGATGAGCTGGCCATCGAGCTCCTCGAGATGTTGCCTCTCGCGCTCGATCTGCTCCGCGGTCGGGGGCGTGCTGCTTCTCCGGGTCGGCGAGCTTGCGGGCGTGCTCGCCCTTCTGCTGCTCGAGCTTGTGCCTCGGTGCCTGGAGTGGGCCCAGCGTCGTGGCCTCTCTGGCTTCTCCTCACACTTGGCGGTCAACTTCCCGAGCGTGACGACGATAACCTTGCCTGTGTCGCTTCCTCCGACCTCGGCCCTGAGTTCGATGAAGGCTGCTTGCTCAGCTGCCGCCGCCTCGCGCTTGAACCCTGAGAGAGCCTCCCTGAGTTCCTCGATCTCTTGGGCGTGCTGCTCGAAGCGCCTGAGCTCCCAGGGAGTGCGCTTCGCGGCTGCCGTAGCTGATGGTGCCCCCTTGGTGATGGTGTTCCACTGCGACTTGGTCCCACGAGCTTGTGGTTCTTCCACGCCTCTCGCTCGACCTTGGAGGAGCACTTGTTTTCGCTATCGCGGTACTTGCGCCTCGACGACAAGCTGCCGATAAAGCCACAGCGTCACGGCCAGTGCGGGGTCCGCGGTCCTCGTAGCACAACGCACTCTGCTTCTGGCGGCGGCCCTATGCTTCTGGGTATGGAGTGCCAGGACAGGACCTGGATTGGGAACAATGGAGAACTGGCCGCGGACCAGCGGAATCCGTGGAAACACCTAGAAGAGTGAACATCTTGAGCCAAAATGGCGACGGAGAGTAGAGTAGAGAAAAGTCGAGGACAAGATACTGGAGGAGTAGAGTTGAGGAGAGTTGGGTAAAGTAGAGTAGGAGTAGAGTAGTACAGAAGTGAGTATAATAGAGTAGGTGAGGCCAGGATAGGGTAGAATGGGGTAGAATAGAGCAAAGTCGGGTAGATGCTAGTGTAGCGTCCTAGTGTAGAGTAGAGTGGATTCGAGTCCACCCCAATCCAGTCCAGTCTTCTCCAGTCAAGTCCATTTCAGTCCACTGGAATTAAGTCTTCTGAGCAATGTGCAGTCTGTGCTGGCTGATATGGTCTGCTCGAAGTGTTCTCAGAGCATTTCTGGCTGAGGCAGCCTTGGCTGTGCACATCGGCTTTCTGTGATAAGAACGGGATTGTTGGCATGAGGGCATTCACTGGCTCATAGAACATGTCGTGGTAGGCCAGTAGGAATGCTGGCACGGTCGGCCCCTGCTCAACTGAAGGATTGGGCCCTCAGGACGACGGGCCTCCAACAATGTAAATCCAACCTGGGATCCTTTCAATCCTTCGGGCCCCAGCCAGTCGGCGACCGCTGGTTTCGCCGACGGCTTGTTTCGCCCGGCTGATTTCGCCCGTCTGGTTTCGCCGCCGGCGAAACCAGCTGCCGTCGGCGAAACTGCCCGATCCGTCCCGCCCGCTGGGGTCCGCCCGCCCGACCCGACCGGTCCGTAAGGTTCGCGCGTGCTCGGGCGAGCGCGCCCCACAGTTTATTGTCCCGTCCGCCCGACCCCACCCGCCCGTCAGGGTCCGCCCGCCCGACCCAACCCGACCGCTAGGGTCCGCCCGCCCGACCTGATCCGCCCGTCAGGGTTCGCGCGTGTTCGGTCGAACGCGCCCCACATTTTAATGCCCCGCCCGCCCGACCCGACCCGTCCGTTTGGGTCCGCCCGCCCGACCCGACCCAATGCGCCCGCCAGGGTCCGCCCGCCCGACCCGACCCGCCCGTTAGGGTTCGCGCGTGCTCGGTCGAGCGCCCCTCACTATAATGTCCCGCCCGCCCGACCCGACCAGCACGTTTGGGTCCGCCCGCCCGACCCGACCCATCTAACCCAACCCGCCCGCCAGGGTCCGCCCGCCCGACCCGACCGGTCCGTGAGGTTCGCGCGTGCTCGGTCGAGCGCGCCCCACAGTTTATTGTCCCGCCCGCCCGACCCCACCCGCCCGTCAGGGTCCGCCCGCCCGTCCCAACCCGACCCGCAGGCTGGAGTCCGCCCGCCCGACCCGACCCGCCCGTTAGGGCTCGCGCGTGCTCTGTCGACCGCGCCCCACACTTGAATGTCCCGCCCGCCCGTTAGGGTCCGCCCGCTCGACCCGACCCGTCCCGCCCGCTAGGTTCCGCCCGCCCGACCCGACCCGCCCGCTAAGGTTCGCGCGTGTTCGGTCGAGTGTGCCCCACACTTTCATGTTCCGCCCGCTCGACCCGACCCGCCCGTCAGGGTCCGCCCGCTGGACCAGACTCGACCCGCCTGCTAGGGTCCGCCCGCCTGACCCGACCCGCCCGTTAAGGTTCGCGCGTCGGCGAAACCAGCGCCGGCGAAACAAGCGCCGGCGAAACCAGCCGCTGGCGAAACCAGCGGGCCGAATCCAGCGGGGCGAAACCAGCGCCGGCGAAGCCAGCGCTGGCGAAGCCAGCCGTCGGCGAAACCAGCGGGGCGAAACCAGCGCCGGCGAAACCAGCGCCGGCGAAGCCAGCCCATGCCAGCCATTCGGACCCCATCCTCCCTGAGATCTGACGGCGCGAAAAAATGAAGCATCGCGAGCAGCACGATCGTGGCCATGGGCCCCATTTTCTTGAGGCACATGTTTCGAGTCGGATCAGTCTGTGCGGGCCCGGGGGCCCGAGAAGTTTGGCGAAAACGCCCGGCTCGGCAAAATCGAGACGCCAGGATCTCGGCCCAGACGTGCGACGCCGTGCCCCCGGGGGGCGGTTCTTCCTCCCGAGTCGTTGTTTGAAGGCCCCGAGGCCCGGCGAGGGCCCCCAGAGGCCAAGCCCACCCTGACCTTTTCGGGGCGCGAGCCTATTTGGAGTTCGCAGCGCCGAGGGAGTCGAGGCCTCCCAGACGGGGTCCGATCAGACGGGGCTGGAGGATCGTGTCGTATTGCCAGTGCATCGGTGATGCGGCCTGAGGTGGAGCCCGATTTTCGATGCATCGCCGATGCATCGCCGATGCATCGCCGATGCATCGACGACGCATCGTCAACGCATCGTCGATGCATCGGCGATACGGCGCGATCCTCCGACCCCACCTACCCATACATCCGGCTGCTCCAATTTTTCCGATGCGTGGGCCCCGGAGGTCCGGACCACTTCCCCGTGACCGGTTTTTCGTCCCGCATCGTTTTTTGACGTTCCCAGGGCCCCGCGAGGGCCGCCAGAGGCCGAAGACGGCCAGAATCCTGCCGCGGCCCAATGTTTCTGGGGCGTCGGATCTCTGGTCGCTCGAACCACGCCTGGGAGGCTCCTCTATGTAAGGACGAGCAGCGGGCCCTCCGGGCGGAGGTCGCCCGCCTCGGGGGCGCGGGCGCGGTCGCGCCGCCGCCCTGCTGCGCAGCCTGCGGCGGGGCGCTCGCCCCGAGCTGCCCGCTGGCCAGCGGCGGCGGCGCCCCGCTGGGCGAGGCCGTCGGCTATACTTAGGTCGGGCCTGTCCCCCTACAGGGGCATCTTCGACGAAAAATGAAGGTACCCCCGAAATAATCATTATCCCGGCAAAGCAACCTAACAGCGATGTGTAGAAGCATATCTGGAAGCATTCCCCTTAAGATTCAGATGAGAATCCAGTTCTAGAATTCTGCTGTTCTCGCAGTCGCAGTCGCATTCGCGATGACAGTCGCCGTGGCAACGGCAGTCGCAGTCACAGCCTCAGCCTCAGCCTGCCTCAGCATCAGCCTGCCTCAGCCTCAGCCTCAGCCTGCCTCAGCCTCAGCCTCAGCCTGCTTCAGCCTCAGCCTCAGTCTGCCTTCAGCCTCGGCCTCAGCCTCAGCCTCCTCAGCCTCAGCCTCAGCCTGCCTCAGCCTCAGCCTCAGCCTCAGCCTCAGCCTCTGCCTCAGCCTCAGCCTGCTTCAGCCTCAGCCTCAGTCTGCCTTCAGCCTCGGCCTCAGCCTCAGCCTGCCTCAGCCTCATCAGCCTCAGCCTCAGCCTCAGCCTGCCTCAGCATCAGCCTGCCTCAGCCTCAGCCTCAGCCTGCCTCAGCCTCAGCCTCAGCCTTCAGCCTCGGCCTCAGCCTCTGCCTGCCTCAGCCTGCAGCCTCAGCCTCAGCCTGCCTCAGCCTCAGCCTGCCTCAGCCTCAGCCTCAGCCTCAGCCTCAGCCTCAGCCTGCCTCAGCCTCAGCCTCAGCCTGCCTTCAGCCTCAGCCTCAGCCTCCGCCTTCAGCCTCGGCCTCAGCCTCAGCCCTCAGCCTCAGCCTGCATCAGCCTCAGCCTCAGCCTCAGCCTGCCTCAGCCAGCCTGCTTCAGCCTCAGCCTCAGCCTCAGCCTCAGCCTCAGCCTGCTTCAGCCTCAGCCTCAGTCTGCCTTCAGCCTCGGCCTCAGCCTCAGCCTGCCTCAGCCTCAGCCTGCATCAGCCTCAGCCTCAGCCTCAGCCTGCCTCAGCATCAGCCTGCTTCAGCCTCAGCCTCAGCCTGCCTCAGCCTCAGCCTCAGCCTGCTTCAGCCTCAGCCTCAGTCTGCCTTCAGCCTCGGCCTCAGCCTCAGCCTGCCTCAGCCTCAGCCTGCATCAGCCTCAGCCTCAGCCTCAGCCTGCCTCAGCATCAGCCTGCCTCAGCCTCAGCCTCAGCCTGCCTCAGCCTCAGCCTCAGCCTGCTTCAGCCTCAGCCTCAGTCTGCCTTCAGCCTCGGCCTCAGCCTCAGCCTGCCTCAGCCTCAGCCTGCATCAGCCTCAGCCTCAGCCTCAGCCTGCCTCAGCATCAGCCTGCCTCAGCCTCAGCCTCAGCCTGCCTCAGCCTCAGCCTGCAGCCTCAGCCTTCAGCCTCAGCCTCAGCCTCAGCCTCAGCCTCAGCCTCAGCCTCAGCCTCAGCCTCAGCCTCAGCCTCAGCCTCAGCCTGCCTCAGCCTCAGCCTCAGCCTGCCTCAGCCTCAGCCTCAGCCTGCTTCAGCCTCAGCCTCAGCCTCAGCCTGCCTCAGCCTCAGCCTCAGCCTCAGCCTCAGCCTCAGCCTCAGCCTGCCAGCCTCAGCCTCAGCCTGCCTCATCAGCCTCAGCCTGCCTCAGCCTCAGCCTCAGCCTCAGCCTCAGCAGCCTCAGCCTCAGCCTCAGCCTCAGCCTGCCTCAGCCTCAGCCTGCCTCAGCCTCAGCCTCAGCCTCAGTCTGCCTTCAGCCTCGGCCTCAGCCTCAGCCTGCCTCAGCCTCAGCCTGCATCAGCCTCAGCCTCAGCCTCAGCCTGCCTCAGCATCAGCCTGCCTCAGCCTCAGCCTCAGCCTGCCTCAGCCTCAGCCTCAGCCTGCTTCAGCCTCAGCCTCAGTCTGCCTTCAGCCTCGGCCTCAGCCTCAGCCTGCCTCAGCCTCAGCCTCAGCTGCCTCAGCTTTCAAAATGTGGCCCGGGAATTCCCTGGGAAGAACACGAAGTGGCCTACAGTTGGCTCCGGGCATTCCAAATCATGCCCAGGAATGGAGTTCTGGGAACTCGAAGACCACGAAGTGGCCTACAGTTGGCTCCGGGCATTCAAAATCATGCCCAGGAATGGAGTTCTGGGAACTCGAAGACCACGAAGTGGCCTACAGTTGGCTCCGGGCATTCAAAATCATGCCCAGGAATGGAGTTCTGGGAACTCGAAGACCACGAAGTGGCCTACAGTTGGCTCCGGGCATTCAAAATCATGCCCAGGAATGGAGTTCTGGGAACTCGAAGACCACGAAGTTCGTTACTGTTGGTTAAAAAAGGAGTCCCCGGATCCCGTCGGGCATCTGCCCAGAACCCCCTGGGGAGTCATGATGCTCTCTTTTGAGACCACTAGAAACCTATCAGTCTTCGCTATTAGGTAAAATCATCCCGGCAAAGCAACCTAACAGCGATGTGTAGGAGCATATTTTGAAGCATTCCCCTTAAGATTCAGATGATAATCCTGTTCTAGAATTCTGCTGTTCTCGCAGTCGAAGTCGCATTCGCGATGACAGTCGCAGTGGCAACGGCAGTCGCAGTCACAGCCTCAGCCTCAGCCTGCCTCAGCCTCAGCCTCAGCCTGCCTCAGCCTCAGCCTCAGCCTGCCTCAGCCTCGGCCTGCTTCAGCCTCAGCCTCAGTCTGCCTTCAGCCTCGGCCTCAGCCTCACCCTGCATCAGCCTCAGCCTCAGCCTCAGCCTGCCTCAGCATCAGCCTGCCTCAGCCTCAGCCTCAGCCTGCCTCTGCCTCAGCCTCAGCCTGCTTCAGCCTCAGCCTCAGTCTGCCGTCGGCCTCGGCCTCAGCCTCAGCCTGCCTCAGCCTCAGCCTGCATCAGCCTCAGCCTCAGCCTCAGCCTGCCTCAGCATCAGCCTGCCTCAGCCTCAGCCTCAGCCTCAGCCTGCCTCAGCCTCAGCCTCAGCCTGCTTCAGCCTCAGCCTCAGTCTGCCTTCAGCCTCCTCAGCCTGCCTCAGCCTCAGCCTGCCTCAGCCTGCAGCCTCAGCCTCAGCCTCAGCCTCAGCCTGCCTCAGCCTCAGCCTCAGCCTGCCTCAGCCTCAGCCTCAGCCTGCCTCAGCCTCAGTCTGCTTCAGCCTGCCTCAGCCTCAGCCTGCCTCAGCTCAGCCTGCATCAGCCTCAGCCTCAGCCTCAGCCTGCCTCAGCTGCCTCAGCCTTCAGCCTCAGCCTGCCTCAGCCTCAGCCTCAGCCTGCTTCAGCCTCAGCATCAGTCTGCCTTCAGCCTCGGCCTCAGCCTCAGCCTGCCTCAGCCTCAGCCTGCATCAGCCTCAGCCTCAGCCTCAGCCTGCCTCAGCCTGCCTCAGCCTCAGCCTCAGCCTCAGCCTCAGCCTCAGCCTGCTTCAGCCTCAGCCTCAGTCTGCCTTCAGCCTCGGCCTCAGCCTCAGCCTGCCTCAGCCTCAGCCTGCATCAGCCTCAGCCTCAGCCTCAGCCTGCCTCAGCATCAGCCTGCCTCAGCCTCAGCCTCAGCCTGCCTCAGCCTCAGCCTCAGCCTGCTTCAGCCTCAGCCTCAGTCTGCCTTCAGCCTCGGCCTCAGCCTCAGCCTGCCTCTGCCTCAGCCTGCATCTGCCTCAGCCTCAGCCTCAGCCTGCCTCAGCATCAGCCTGCTTCAGCCTCAGCCTCAGCCTGCCTCAGCCTCAGCCTCAGCTGCTTCAGCCTCAGCCTCAGTCTGCCTGCCTCGGCCTCAGTCTGCCTTCAGCCCAGCCTGCCTCTGCCTCAGCCTGCATCAGCCTCAGCCTCAGCCTCAGCCTCAGCCTCAGCCTCAGCCTCAGCCTCAGCCTGCTCAGCCTCAGCCTCAGCCTGCCTCAGCCTCAGCCTCAGCCTCAGCCTGCTTCAGCCTCAGTCGCAGTCTGCCTTCAGCCTCGGCCTCAGCCTCAGCCTGCCTCAGCCTCAGCCTCAGCCTCAGCCTCAGCCTCAGCCTCACCCTCAGCCTGCCTCAGCTCAGCATCAGCCTGCCTCAGCATTCAAAATGTAGCCCGGGAATGAAGTTCTGGGAACTCGAAGACCACGAAGTGGCCTACAGTTGGCTCCGGGCATTCAAAATGTGGCCCGGGAATGGAGTTCTGGGAACTCGAAGACCACGAAGTGGCCTACAGTTGGCTCCGGGCATTCAAAATCATGCCCAGGAATGGAGTTCTGGGAACTCGAAGACCACGAAGTGGCCTACAGTTGGCTCCGGGCATTCCAAAATCATGCCCAGGAATGGAGTTCTGGGAACTCGAAGACCACGAAGTGGCCTACAGTTGGCTCCGGGCATTCAAAATCATGCCCAGGAATGGAGTTCTGGGAACTCGAAGACCACGAAGTGCGCTACTGTTGGCTAAAAAAGGAGTCCCCGGATCCCGTCCGGATCCTGTCCGGATACCGCCCAGCCCCCTGGGGTGTCAAGATGTTTTCTTTTGACCCCACTAGAAACCTATCAGTCTTCGCTGTTAGGTAAAAACGAATCACAAAATAGTCTGGGGACTATTTTGGGGGTATCTGTTGGCCTTGTTGGAGTATTTTTGAAGTTTTTTCCCTACCTAGGCTCTGCCTAGAAGGGTTCTTACTCTCTTAGCTTAAAGGGGCCGGGCAGTGGAAAGCGCCCCGGGCGGTTCTCCCAGTCCCCTGGGAGCGGTTCCCCCCAGTCCCCTGGGAGCTTTAGCTTTAAGCTTTAGCTTTAGCTTAGCTGTAGCTTAGCTTTAGCTTAGCTGTAGCTTAGCTTTAGCTTAGCTTTAGCTTAGCGTTTCGCTTAGCGTTTCGCTTAGCGTATAGCTTAGCGTATAGCTTAGCGTTAGTTTAGCTGTAGCTTAGCTTTAGCTTAGCTGTAGCTTAGCTTTAGCTTAGCTTTAGCTTAGCTGTAGCTTAGCTTTAGCTTAGATTTAGCTTAGCTTAGCTTTAGCTTAGCTTTAGCTTAGCTTTAGCTTAGCTTTAGCTTAGCTTTAGCTTAGATTTAGCTTAGCTGCAGCTTAGCTTTAGCTTAGCTGTTGCTCAGCCTTTTAGCTTAGCTTTAGCTTAGCTTTAGCTTAGCTTTAGCTTAGCTTTAGCTTAGCTTTAGCTTAGCTTTAGTTTAGCTTTAGCTTAGCTGTGGCTTAGCTTTAGCTTGGATTTAGCTTAGCTTTAGCTTAGCTTTAGCTTAGCGTTACTGTTACTACTAATGCTGCTTTCCTAGGGGTTCCAACTCCTAGGTAGGGTCGCACTGGGATAATTTTTGTTGTTCGTCGAAAATCCCCCTGTAGGGGGACACGCCCGAAAGGCTATACGCAAGCGTGACCCTGGGAACCCAGACCCCCTCGGGTCGTGACAAAAATCACGACGGGAGGTTTCTCCTCGGGGGCCCTTGCCAGGCCGTAGGACTCCAAAAACGCCGCAGGACCAAAAACCGGTCCCGGGGAAGGGTCCAGACCTCTGTATAGGGGTCGACGTTGGAACAAAAACCACGACGTCGGGGGACCGGGTAAGAGTGACCTTTGGTGCGCGCCTTTTTTGGGGCCGCGGGGGGACCAAACCTGGGCGCGCAAGCAGCTGCAGCTGCTGCTGCTGCTGCTGCTGCTGCTGCCGCTGCTGCTGCTGCTGCTGCTGCCGCTGCTGCTGCTGCTGCTGCTTCGTCTTCAGCCATCTGGGGACCCATCCGCGCCCGCACCAAAGGGTCACTCCTGCGAAAGGTCACTCTTACGCCTATAGTCGAGGACGGCTTCACGCCGGCGGCGCCGACCGACCGCCCCCCGCTGGCCGGCCTCGCCGCAGGGCGATCGGCGACGGCCTGCGCCGCGCACTCGGGCGGCGCGCGCGGCGGGTGATCGGCTGCGAGCTGCGAGCCTTAAGCCCTCGTCGATGGCAGCGATTTTCCCTGACGACAGGCCCTGCCCACGCCACGTCCTCGAGCCGGGCGCGTGTGCGCCCCGTTTCGGGCCCCTGGGCCTTCACAGATCGATGCGGCTCGAAACGTGGCGCAGAAGGATGGGGTCCAGGATTCTGGTGGTGGTTGATTGCGATGCTGTCATTTTTGCAACGTCAGATCGGAGGGTTCAGTCACTCCGATGGGCGGCGCCGGTAGTCAGCCACGCGCAGAGGGGGGTAGGGGGAGGGGGGAGGTCTTCTCAGAAGCACCCCGCCTTCTTAGAAGGCTCGGGCCTTGTCTGTAGATGTAGGACCGGCGCCTTCGACGAAGCAGCTTCCTAAGAAGTTTGCCCCCCTCGCCCTACCCCCTTGTGCGCTCCGCCAAGATCAACGATTCCGTCAACTCGATGGGCGGTGTGGGTAGGGTCCAGCATTCGTCGAAGTCGGGGCGGAATATGAACCCCACCCCCGCCTCCCACCGATTCGGGAGAACCGATGCTTGGCGGGGGTAGGGTTCGGATGTCGCCACCTAGGTGACCGACAGGCCCCCTCGCCACCCGCGAGGCCTTCGGGCTGGCGGCGCCCACGATCCAGGCTGGGATCGGCGCGGGGGTTGCCAAGGGGATACGGGATTCGCCGTGGGTGCCGAGGTGGGGCGTGAGCATGAGATGTCTGCAACCATGCGCTTGCCCCTCGATTCTAAACGCTGCATTCGTCAGGGTGAGGGGGCCGAACGGTCATTCATTGTCCATGGGTTCGAGGCTGAAGTGGGGATCCGTGGTGAGGCGTCGGCTTGTTGCGTGGTTGTTCTTGTTGTTGTTGTTGTTGTTGTTGTTATTGTTATTGTTAGTGTTGTTGTTCTTGTTGTTGTTGTTGTTGAACTCTCATTTGTGAAGAATAAGTATTGTTGATCCCCCCCACCGGTGCACATGGTATTCTTCCATTTGATCAAGGAAAGTCTTGAGGCTCAGACTGGGCCCCTGGCCCCTGGCCCCCGGCTTACAACCACAACGGCTCCCGCTCGAGACTTCCTAACAATTTAGCCCGGACCCCCGCTCCCGCCTGAGACCACCTCTCATGTTATTCAGAAATCGCGCTCTCGCTTGGGACTTCCTTACAATTTACTCAGAATTCGCTCTCCTGGAGTCGCTCTGGAGTGGCGCTCTCGCTGGAGACCTGCTTGCAATTTACTCAGGAGTAGCGCCTTTGCGTTTGAATTCTCCGCAATTTACTCAAGCGCCGCGCCCCCGACACTCAGGCACCCAGGAGTCGCGCTCACGCTTACGACTCCTTCACAGATTATTGATGAATCAGGATCTCGCTGCCCGTCGTGGCCCCGTAGCAGCCCTTCGTGGCCCCCTCGCTGCCCTTCGCGGACCCGTTGCAGCCCTTCGTGGCCTCCTCGCTGCCCTTCGTGGCTCCATTGTAGCCCTTCGTGGCCCCCTCGCTGCCCTTCGTGGCCCCATTGCAGCCCTTCGTGGCCCCCTCGCTTTGTTTCGTGGCCCCGTTGCAGCTCTTCGTGGCTCCCTCGCTGCCCTTCGCAGCCCCGTTGTACACCTTCGTGGCCCCCTCGCTGCCCTTCGTGGCTCCGTTGCTGCCCGTCGTGGCCCCCTCGCTGCCCTTCGTGCCCCCGTTGCAGCCCTTTGTGACCCCCTCGCTGCCCTTCGTGGCCCCGTTGCAGCCCTTCGTGGCCCCCTCGCTGCCATTCGTGGCCCTGTTGCAGCCCGTCGTGGCCACCTCGCTGCCCTTCGTGGCTCCATATATGTATGCCCTTCGTGGCCCCCGCTCGTTCGCGCCCGTCGTGGCCCCATATGCATGCCCTTCGTGGCCCCGCTGTCGCCCTTTGTGGCCCCCTCGCTGCCCTTCGTGGCCCTGTTGCTGCTCTCAGTGGCCCCGTCCTTGCCTTCCGCGGCCCAGTATACGTATGCCCTTCGTGGCCCCCGCTCGTTCGCGCCTGTCGTGGCCCCATGTGCATGCCTTTCGTGGCCCCTCTGTCACCCTTCGTGGCCCCCTCGCTGTCCTACGTGGCCCAGTTGCTACCCTCAGTGGCCCCGTCGTTGTCTTCTGTGGCCCCGCATTATCTGCCCATCGTGGCCCCTGCTCGTTCGTGCTCTTCGTGGCCCCATACGCATTCCCTTCGTGTCCGCGCTGTCGCCCTTCGTGGCCTATTTCGTGCCCTTCGTGGCCCTGCTGTCGTTCTCTCTCTCGCTTTCGGTTTCGCTCGTCGTCGTCGTCGTCGTCGCCGTCGCCGTCGTCGCCGTCGTCGTCGTCGTCTCGTCGTCGTCGTCGACGTCGTCGTCGTCGTGGTCGGTCCCCTGTCCGTCCCTCTTGGGGTCAGGTTGCCGCCGATCAGCGCTGCCGCTGGCCAGGCCGACGGTCCGCGGCCGCCCCGCCGCTTGCCAGGGCCCGGCCTGCAAGGAAGAAAGGCATACCCCCCAAAAGGGGTACGATCGACGACGAAGAGGGCGTGCATCGAGGGTTTGGAAAATACGCCTGAACGGACACTCGGGCAGATAAGAGCGAACAGTATTAAAATGATTGTTGTTATTGTTGTTGCTGGATACTCATTTCTAAACAATAATTATTGTTGATCTCCGAAAACCGGAAACGGTTCCGCGCGCTCTCGCCTCGACGCCGGCTCCGTTTTTTTGCGAAAGCGAGGCTCCCGATCGAGCGTTGGCTTGACCCTAAACGTGGGCCATCGGAGGCCCAGCTACGACAACAACGGTTCCCGCTCGATTCTTTCTCACAATTTACCCCGAGACACCGTGGCCAGAGAGGCCCCCGAACTCAGGAACGGCGTTTTCGCTCGTTACAGAACTCGCAATTCAAGCAAGTCGGCGGAGGCCCAGCCGCGACGACAAGGGCTCTTGCTCGACATTTCCTCACGATTTACTCCGAGAGCCCCTGGCCAAGAAGACCCCCGAACTCAGGAACGGTGCTCTCGCTCGAGACTTTCTCGTAATTCTGGCAAGTTCGTGGAGGCCCGCCCGGACACGACGACAAGGGTTCCCGTTCGATATTTCTCCATCGGTGTTCCGAGAGCCCTTGGTCAGGGAAGAGAGGCCCCCGAACTCAGGAACGGCGCTCTCGCTCAAGATTTCCTCGCACTTCAGTCAGTAGCCGACAAGGAAGAGATTCTCCCCAGAAGGGAGTGCAATCTAAGACGAAGTGGGCGGATATCGAGGGTTGGGGTATACGGAACGCAAGACACGCGCCCCAGTAAGAGCGAACAGTCTTAAATCGATGATTGTTGTTGTTGGTGTTGTTATGTGTGTTGTTGTTGATGTTGCTGTTGTTGGTTTTGTTGTTGTTGTTGCTGTTGTTGTTGTTGATGTTGTTGTTGTTGTTGAACATTATTAATTCTAAAGAATAATTATTGTTGGGCCCCCTGGTGCACGCCCCCCCCCCGCGCCTAGGCCGCAGCCACATTTTCATCATTTTCGTGAGGAAGTCTCAGGTAAAACGATGTCATCCAGATCCGGTTGTTTTGTTGACGCCCGCTTTCCCTGTCAAAAAACACTATAAAATGACATGTCTTGTTCTAACATAACCAAACTTCAAGAATCCTTTGCAAAAAAATGACACGAAGTGCACACTCGCGCGCGCAAGATAAAATCCTTCCAAAACCTTAGTTTTCGTAGCGATTTTTACATAAAAACCTGAAAAACCCAATGGTTTTGCAAAAAAAAAGTTTCAAACATTCATCCCGCGCGCTCTTGCGGATTTCTGAGGAAACCCAATTTTTTTTCAACATTTCTGTCAAACGGGCTCTTGCGAGCAACTTTTTCACGTGCTTCGAACTTCTGCAACAACGGTTGCGCGCATGCCAGGGCCATCATCCCTGTCAAATAATACCATATTGGACACATTCGTTTTTTCTTCGCGCGCGCACGCCGTCGTCGTCGGCCGCGGGGCCCTGAATAGTAGCCACGGTCGTCCGCATGCCACGAAGTGAAGTGTCCGAACGTCATAGGGCGGGAAGCTGGGTGTGGGTGGTGGCGAAGAGTCGTATGGAAATTTGGTAGAGCTTGAACCGGCCCCCCCACAAAGTGGGGGTATTGCCCGCCTCCTATGAAAACCCTGGCACTGGTGAGAACGGAGTGTCCCCAGTCTTAAATGATTGTTGTTGTTGTTGTTGTTGTTGTCGGTGTTGTTGTTGTTTGTGATATTGTAGTTGTTGTTGAACGCTCATGCTTGAAGAACAATTATTGCTGATTCCCCTCACCAGTGCATGCTGTTTTTTCTGAATCAAAGTGTGCCCCTCGACGCGCGCACCTGGTTTGTTGACAGGGAAAGTTTTGGTGCTCAAGCTGTGCCCCTGGCCCCCCGGACTGCAACAACAACGGCTCCCGCCTGAGACTTCCTCCAAATTTACTCAGGACCCCCGCTCCTGACATTTCCTCACAATTTACTCAGGATCGGTGCTCCCGCCTATGACCTCCTCGCAATTTAGTGAGGCTTCCTCACAATTTACTCAGGAACGGCGCTCCCGTTTGAGACTTCTTCGCAATTGAATCAAGAGTTCATTGCAATTTAATAAAGATCCCCGTTCCCGCCAGAGAACCTTTCACCTTTTATTACGGAATTGCGCTCTCGCCTGTGACTTCCATGCGATGTATTCAGGAGTCGCGCTTTCGACGCTCAGGAAACACGCTGCGCCAAGGGCGCCGCTACAATTTACTTAGTATTCGCGTTCTCGCCATAGTCGGGCATCCCGCTTGAATGTCCCAACCGCCCGACCCGCCCGTCAGGGGATCGCCCGCCCGTCGTGGGCTCCCGCCCGGGACTTCCTTCGGGAACGGCGTTTTCGCCTGGGACTTCCTGGAACGTTCACGCTCTGACCTTCCTGCTCCTCCTCTCTCTCCCTCCTCCCTCCTCCCTCCTCTCCTCCCTTCTCTCTCCCTCCTCTCTTCCCTCATCCTTATGCCTCTCTGCCCTATCCCCTCTCCCTCCTCTC